ATGCCAAATTACACTTTAAAACAAGAAACTAGTCTCTAGATGACATGAAGGGTAGTAGCTGCTGTGTTTATTGTAGATGTCCTGTGCTCCAGATACTGTGCCAAGCATTTTATGTCAGTTACCTTATTAATTAATCAGTCTGGCCCCAGGAAATTAGCACTACCATTAACCTTTTTTTACAGGTGAGGAAACTTGAGGCACGCAGGCAATAATAAATTTGTTCAACATCACCCAGCTTTTCGAACTAGAACACAGGTTGTCACACTCCATGGCCTTCACTTTTAACAGTTCAAACTTCCTCCTTTAGCTCGGAGAAGTTTGATCGTCTGGAACCTTCTTCTCTCAACACGTCAAAGTCATTCTCCGTCCAGCTTTGTTCTGTTGCTGGCAGGGAGCTGTGTTCCTTTGAAGGGAGAGAATGGTGATCATTAAGAAGTCAGGAAACAACAGGTGCTGGAGAGGATGTGGAGAAATAGGAACACTTTTACACTGTTGGTGGGACTGTAAACTAGTTCAGCCATTGTGGAAAACAGTGTGGCAATTCCTCAAGGATCTAGAACTAGAAATACCATTTGACCCAGCCATCCCATTACTGGGTATATACCCAAAGGATTATAAATCATACTGCTATAAAGACACATGCACATGTATGTTTATTGCGGCACTAATTACAATTGCAAAGACTTGGAACCAACCCAAAGGTCCATCAATGACAGATTAGATTAAGAAAATGTGGCACATATACACCATGGATTACTATGCAACCATAAAAAAGGATGAGTTCATGCCCTTTGTAGGGATATGGATACAACTGGAAACCATCATTCTCAGCAAATTATTGCAAGAACAGAAAACCAAACACAACACCACATGTTCTCACTCATAGGTGGGAATTGAACAATGAGAACAATTGGACACAGGAAGGGGAACATCACACACAAGGGCCTGTCATGGGGTGGGGGGAGGGGAGAGGGATAGTATTAGGAGATATACCTAATGACGAGTTAATGGGTGCAGCACACCAACATGGCACATGTATACATATGTAACAAACCTGCACGTTGTACACATGTACCCTAGAACTTAAAGTATAATAAAAATTTTTAAAAAACAAACTAATGACAATAGGTATAAATATAGCAATGGCAAAAGCTATAACACAAAATAGTTTGAAAATGTTGCAATAGAAATACTATCTTAAGAAGTATAGTTTAAGGTAAAAAGCACAAATGGTTGAAAGAGAAATGTTTCCTTTTATGAAGGTAACAACTAACCTGAAAGATGAGTCACAAAATATTATGCCTTCAAAAATTATCATTTGAAATATATGACTCAAATATTGATAGAATAGTTTCCATACTTTGGCAGAATCTCTACTTAAAGCATCAAGATGACTTCCTGTGAACTCCAATCCTTCACTGAAGATCTATTAGATGCATAGATACAATTTGAGTGAAAAATGTTGTGGAAATCATGTGGAGAATTGAATTTCAAATTTAGGTTGACTTTGTGCAGTACGGATACAGCCTGAATTTTTGAGAAAACCAGGAGCCTGGGGAACCATAAACTAAAATTCTCTTTCTGTCAAGTTTAGCCCTGCAGTCATGACACAAGGTGCAGATAATGAGATAAGGCTGTGGGACAAGTGACGAGTTGGTGGATGTTTGAGAAGAGCAAAGGTTAAGCTTGTGGGCTTAGGAATCAGAACTTCTAGGTTTGAATTTAGTTCTATCAGTTCTAGCTGTGTGACCTAAGGGAACCTGTTTAACATCTCTGCTTCTTGAGTTCTCTCAAATATAAAATGGAAATAATAATCATATCAACTTCAGAGGTTTGCTATGGTGATAAAATGGATTAACATATGCAAATTCCTTAATAATTGCTGACTGTCCTCCAAAAGTTAGATGTTATAGTTATTAGGTGGTGTTTTGGTAATACCTTTAAAAAACAGACTCTCTGTCCTAGAGGATTTACGATGCAGTTGCAACAACCCTGGCCAATGGCTGGGGGGTATGCAGGTACCACCACATGATGAGTGTGGGTCATGTGTCCAGTCCTATAATCACGAAGTCATTACTAGCACCAGGGTTATGGTACAAGCATGGCCTCGGAAAATCACTATGACTAGGGAAAGGCACATCCTAGTAAGATTCTGCACAGATGCTCATGGAAAAGGTGCTCCAAATCTTGTCTCCTGCTGGGATGGGAGAGAAGAAAATGTTCCCAAATGGAAATCTGTAAAAACGGGTGAGATGGGCTGAGAGGGTGAGGAGACATTACATATAAATACACCTTTGTAGAACAGGCTGCACTCACCTGTGAGTCCCAATAGCATAAAGAGTCAAGGGTTGTCCAGGTGGGCTGGAAGACAGCTATGGCCATTGCCTGCTGTGTTCAAAGGTTTATCATGGGACGACCCCAGCCTCTAAGCCCTGCAGGAAAAGAGAAGCCCCACCTGCCATGACATCTGAGGAGAGAATTTGCCGTGGAAGGAAAAGGCCACGAGACTGGCACAGCCTCATAGTAAAAGAGGAAGCAGGCACAGTTGCCACCCCTGGGAAGTTGCTGATATCCACTTTGGGGTTCCCACGCCTGGGAACCTTGGACAGTAGTGGAGACAGTTTGACTGCCCTGGGCCTGCTCTCTGTCCCAGAGGCACTCCCTTCATGCCAGGGTTCCCTTGGCCCTTCCTCATTGGACAGCCCTGATCCATGGGGCCGTGTAGCTAAGGACTGAGTTTGGATCTTCAGAGACTGAAATTCTGGGTGTGGAAAGTTTGAGGTCTTGTTATTGTAGTAGCCTTTAAGGATGGAACCAAAACTCCTGGATGACCCCTGCAAAAAGTCCCTAGAGCCAACATCAAGTAACAAGATGATGTAAGAAATAACAACTCTTGTTATAAGAAATAACAACTCTTCTTAGGTCTGTCAGAGAAATGAGGTCACAGAACAGACCACTGTCCCCAACATTGGAAGTTAGACAAAATGATATAGATAATTACAACTTCCTGAAGCCAAAACCTCCATGGGAACCAGTGCCAGGGTAGGAAAACCTGCAGTGTAATTGAAGAATTGCTAGAGACTTGGCGTGGGCCAGTCTAAGAAACAGATTCCAGGAGGACCCAGTCACAGGGAACTCCAACACTGTTGTGAGTTTTACCTCCAGGAGCTTAATTAGGTACTCAGAGTGAATATGAGAGAAATATTCACTTATGCTTCCTGTGGGGTGGGGAGGGGAAAGTGAACCATTTTGAAATACACCAGAGCGTTCTTTCTTCTTACCAAGCCCAGCTCTCAGGAGAAACTATTTTACCAGAGCCTAATCTGCTGGACTTTGATCAGAGCCTAACCTACCTTGGGAAGGTGAGCAACCAACTCCAGTCCCCTCTAGCCATCCTGTCTCACCATAGGGGGAAAAACTGAGAGGCACTTGTGAAGTCCACAGGCCAGGGGCACAGGCTCACACAAGACTGCAACCTCATGTAACTGGTGATGAGCCCATGTGACATTTTTGGGAAACAAATAATTGAATGACAGATTGGACAACCACAGTGAAAATACAGTGAATAAATGAGCAGTGAAAATGCTGGAGGTAAGGTTCAAATTGAATGTCGGTGGCGTTATAGAGGCATAAATAGCTGGTGGAGGCAACGTAGATCCTGGTAGTGTTTGAGAAGCTTCAGATAGGCAGCCCGCAGGACTTAGAGAAGGCGAATTTAACAGATATGGGATGGGGTGCTGACAAATAGGGTGAAGGTGTCCCTGAGGATGTGACAACAGCAAAAATCTTCACTGAAAGGAACTTTTGCAGAGATTTCACCACACTGAAAATGCAAATGCTAAGGTGCTAGAAACAAATCCAAACTTAGAGAGGAAGGTGATAAAACACCCAGGTAGAAAGGATGTTTGCTCCATATCAGAAGTGTACAAGAAGGAGGTAAGCACTCTTTCAACTACTCTTGAAACATTTTTACAAAGAAATAAAATACTTGAACGCTCGATGTTTCCAATGTTTGGAATTACGGTATACTAATAAATATTCATTTATTATTTTTTATTGCCTTCTACATTTGTAACTGACAGTATGAGAGTTTCCGATATTTTGACAAAAGATTGTAAAGGTCACAAAATGATCACTGTTTTTCTGATTGGATGTGGAGATGCTTTCCTGGGTTTCTGGCTGCACAGTCATTCTTGCAATCCTGCTCTGCCGTGAAAAGTTAGGGCTGCCTGTATTCGGTATAATGCTTATGGTAATAAATGCTAAATAAAAATTAATCAGGATAAGATAAATTAAAATGTCGGGGTAGACGGAAGAATTGATACTATGTACAGGGTGGTTTGCAAAAGGTGCCTTTAATAAAGTGACCTTAAGCAGAGGCTTGAAGGAGGGATGAAGGGAGTCATGCAGCTGTGTTGGGGAAGAAACAACAATTTGACTTTTCCAAAAATCACTGTAGCTGAAAAATGAAAGCCAACAGAGGCTACAGAAGTGTTCCCGGAAGAGATGATGCTGACCAGGACAGGGAGGGGTGGTGGAGGTGAGAAGTGTTCAGGTTAGGGATGGAACTCAGTGTTGTCCTGCAGCAAGCTTGGACTGACCCCTGAAAGCCAACCATTAAATTTCAGGAATTTTGCAATCCAGTTGTTAAACTTCTAGTAGCTTGAAACTGGCCATGTTGGGGGTGATTACGCCACAGAAATTGTCAAGCACAACAAATCAGTTTTTTTTTTTTTTTCATTTAAGAGAGTCCGTTTTTAAACACTTACCGTCTCATGAGTGATCATAAGTATTTTGAAGGCAGAATTGAAAATGGGGTGTAAAGAGACATCAAGGAGGATTCCAGGAGTCAAGGAGGCATTTGGACTGTGGCAGCATTTCCGCCATGAGCAGCAGGGCTGGGAAGCCTGCAGGATGCTAGAACTAGTGTTCCCATCACAGAGAGAGCAGGGAGAGATTCTTTGTTTCTGAGTGTGAGGAGTAGGGCCCTTAGACAAAGAGGAAGGAGAATCTTTTTATTTTCTTAAAACCACTTTGGGAGTGCATTTGTATTCAAGAGGCGATAGAGAACCTCAACAAGGCTGGGGAGTTGGGGTAGGCAGGAATCTGGAAGACAGGATAACTCTTGAAAGCCTGGAGAGAGTCTGTGGTTTATGGCCAGTCCCAAGGCGATGGATGGGAGGAATCCTGGTGTGTTTAGACATGGCGTGTTTCTCACATTCTAGGGAGGTGTCATAAGTCAGTGCCCAGAGCCCAGTCCCATGGCCCCTGCTCAGGACCATGAATGAAGACCCTGCTCTGGGGCATCAAGGTCTGTGTGAAGGAGCAACAGGAGCCTGTGGGCAGGCAGATGTCTTGGGAGGGGAGGCGTTTGGAGCCAAGTCTAGAGAAGCTTCTCACTGACTCATTCTCTCAAGCTGAGCCTCTCAGGAAAGGAAGGAGGCAGCAGAGATGAGGGTCCCACGTGGCAGGGGAGGAAGGAAGGAGCTGTGGGAAAACACATCCACATTTAGTCATCTGCTCATCATTCAAGAAATGTTTCCTGAGAGTCTATTACGTTCCTGGGGCTGGTCTCCTGCAATGCCTGTCACTGGTGGACAGGCAGACCTGAGATAGAACTCTGTGTGCTCAGCCATCCTGCCGAGTCCTGATGCCCTTTCCCATATTCCTTCCACTCAGACACCCAGAGGGTCAGAGCACAAATAGCCTTCAGAGCTTCTCATCTGGGCTTCTCAACATTGGTCTACAATGTGGATTCCTCTGACCTCATCAAGTCCCAGCATTCAAATAATCTACAGATAGCCTGGAAGGAACCACCCACTCATTACTGCCTCCATGAAACTCCCAGGGCACTGTGGACACCTTTGAACACGTTTTAAGCATCCCACATCGTATACCACCCACATAATTTCTGGGGGTTGGGAGCCTCTTAGAGGGTTCCCCAAGACTTCCCAGGGTGCGGAGGGAGCTTAACTCCATGGACCCTGATGCTGCATGGCATGTGGGCTGGGCCTCCCTGTTGGCCTTGCCCTTCTGGAATAGCCCTTGGTCGGTCCTCCCTTACTTGTACTTACAGTCAGGTCTTCTGCTTCCAGGGGACGTAGATGGGGCCCAGGAGGACAGCTATGAGGAGCAGCACAGTAAGAGATGATGCCGGGCCTGGAAATCAGGGAAGAGGAGGAGCTATGAGAGAGGCCACTTGGGAGGCCCTTGTAGGGGCCTCTGCCTCCATCTGAGGCTGCCTGGGCCCATCTATGCCCCACCTTTGAACTTGCATCCTGCCCTGGCTATCCTCACTCCAGCACAAGGCAGAAGCCACAGAAAGAGGCTCCCCATTCTCACTCATCCTGTCCCGGGTTGCCAGCTTATTCTCCTGGAGGGAAGAGGTGGAGGGAGCATGTACTCATACATGTGGCAACTGGGTTCCTTACTTGACCCTCACAAGCCTGTGGGAGCAGGGATTATCATTCTGTTCTGACAGGGAAACTGAGGCCCATGGATTTTAGGGAGGGTCACAAGGTTACTTGCATTCAAACCTAAAGACGCTCATCACTAGTGTTCCTTAGGATGATCCATGAGACCGTATCCTTTGGAACAAAACAAGTCCAACTTCCCAGGGAAATTTTAATGACTGTAAAAGCGTAGGCAGGTGGCTTGAGGATGGCTTCACAATGAGAGTTGCAGGTTCCCTGTTTAGCCCCAGAAGTAAGGGGAGGACTCCGTGTTCTCAGAACCTGGAGGAGCCGTGGAGTGCTGGACATAATGAAACCATCTGGCTAGAAAACACCCTGGTGAGTCATGGAAATGGATCTCATGCTTGGGAGGGTCTCAGACGTCACCTAGGCCACCTCCACCCCAGTGCAGGTGTCATCTGAAATCTTTCTGTTAGTTGGGCACACTCAGTTACCGGGAAGCACATGTTTGGACTCTGCATTTTTAACAAGAGCAGTTCGGGCTTTAAAATAAACATTTTTAACAAGAGCAGTTCGGGCTTTTAAAATCAACATTTTTAACACGAGCAGTTTGGGCCATTAAAGATATTACAGTGTATTTTAAATAAATAAAATGGTGCTGGTGGGTCCTTAAGGAAGAAATGGAAATCTCAGCATCTTTGGCTGCTGGGGTGTTAGAGGCCAGCAGTTCTCGGCTGTGTGGCTCTCTGGGACTTCTCCCTTGAGAGCTGCACTGCCCAAGTTCACTCCTCCTTCTAAGGGACAGCCCACAAGAAAGATTGGCTGAATTGAAAATAGGAGGGCCACGCCTCTCTCCTCAATTAAAAACCCTCTCAGCTCTTGGGATCTCCCCAGGAGCAGCTGGGTCTTTGTCCTACTTGCACTGTAGCTCAGCACCTCCCTCCTCCTACAGTCCTGCCTCCCCATTTCCTGAGGCATGTTGACCCTACAGCTCTTCAGGAAGCTTCCTGCATTCCTGTATCCATCTCTAGTCTGCCTTACAGAGAAACTGACCTTGGTAAGTGGTCTGGAAAACAGACTCTAAAATATAAGTTTGAAACCTGTATACTCATCAGCTCATAATGAGGACCCCAGGGCTGGCAGTGAGTGGGGCTAGGCACCATGGCTTGTGGCTGTGATGCAGTTGATAAAACTTTCACTGGCAGTAAACTGGGATGGTGTAACCACAGGCAGGAAATTCCTTGGCATCAGGCTTTTGAAACAGATTGGGAAATGGTAGTTATAAGGACTAAGTTGTTTGATGGCTATCACTGGGCATCAATTTTTGGGGGGAAAGATGCTGAGAAGCTAAGAGTGATTGATTATGAGTTAAGGTTCACTGTGAAAGCAAGAGGACTTCTTGGCAGCACTGTACTTTCTTATCTCTTGTGACTACAGGGCAGAAAGAACAGAGGGTTGGGCTCTGGACATCATTAAAAGAGTAGCAGAATCACAGAGGAGGATGAATCTCAGCTTCAACGGTTGCTATGCTGGGGTAGGGTCCTGATGGGGAAGTTGTGGGACCCTGAGATGTGGGAATGGACATTTGGGTCAAAGCACTTAAAGATCTTCAGCTGATGTAGGAGCTGCCAGGTACAATTGCAGCAGCATAGCTACTTATCTCTACAAAATATCCTCCCCAAATCAAAATAAAAAATGAAAATAAAATAGTAAGTTCTGCACAGCCCTGTTCTCAGTATTACTTGAAGATAGAAGGCCAAACTGCAAAATGACTGTGAGTCAAAAGAGAACACTCACCTAACCCTAGTGCACAGTCTGTCACCAGGCTCCCACACCAATGGTGCAGCACTTACGTAATCACAAGGCATCTTGCACTTTACCTGCCAGCCTAGACAACTTAAAATGCATTTCCAGCCTTAGTACCTGAGCAAAGATGCTACATCTGGCAAACCGAAGGCACCCAAAAATGGCAGCCCTGGTCCTGGTCCAAGCCAGTGTGGATGAATAACTAAAAAGCAAATGCAATCCAGTCTTGATGGTGCAGTTTTACCTCCCTGAGAAGTAAAACTATGAACCTTAGAAACATCACAAGGAACAGGAATAGGAGAAATTCTAAGGTGGGAGAGGAAGAAGGGAGACTGACTAGGGGCCTCAGGACAGAGGGACAGCCCTGCAGCCAGGCACCTGGAACCTACCCCCCAATACCAGCCCCAGCCATAAACAGAGGCAAAGGAATGACATAGAAAAGAGCCAAAGCCTCAAGTCAATTAAATCACCACTTCAAGAAACTAGAAAAAGTAGAACAAAATAAACTCAAAGCAAGCAGGAGACAGGAATTAATACAAAGAAAAGTGCAAAAAATTAATAAACTGAAAACAGAAAAACAATTTTAAAAACTCACTGAAAAAAAGTGGTCCTTTGAAAAGATCAACAAAATGGGGGGAAAAAAAACTATAGCAAGGCTGATGAAGAAGAAAACAGAAATGGCATATTTTCAATATCAGGTTGAAGCAGGGGATATCACCATAGACCCTTCAGACACCAAAAAGATAATAAGGAGATATTATGAACAATTCTACACACAAAAATATGACAACTTAGATAAAATGGACACAAACTTCTTCAAAAAGCACCACTTACCGGAACTCACCCAATATGAAAAGAGTAATATGATTAACCCTAAACTATTGAGGAAATTGAATTCATCATTTTAAAACACCCCTCAAAATTCTTGAGACCCAAGTGTTTCAGAGAAAAATACTGCAAAGCATTTAAAGATGAATTAAATCCAAATTTAGTGCACAGAAAAATAGTCATAAAAGAAATTTGAGGAAAATTTGCATGTATACTCCATTTTAGATGATATAAGGGAATTGTTTTAATAATTTTATGAAATTCAGTGATTAAAAATTTGAAATAACATAATATATTATATATCATAATATTATATATTTTATATATATAACTATAATAATGATAAAGCTGTCTTTAGTCATAAGATCACCCAACTATGGATTCCATTTGCAACTGAGTGTACACGCATGACTGAGTTAGCTGTGGACGTGATCACACACCTTCCATACATCTCTGATTATAGAAGACATTGTTTGCCCTCCATTTCCTATATTTACTCTTCCAGCAGGCAGGGACATGGACAAATCTATGACTTAGCACTGACCCAGCAGATAAGACTAACCAGCATAAGGTATGTGGGAGGAACCTGGGCCTCTGAAAAGTCTCGTGGAGTTAAGACCCCTCCTGGTATTACGTAAGAGGGAAGTAAGACATATTTTGGTCATAGAGAGGGGAATACAGGCCAACTTCAGGTCCATGGGATAATGCCCAGCAGAAGAGGAATGTTTCTCTAACTAGCACAAATTTGCATTTTAGGCTGATACTGACCTTGTCCTCAGGGATCCAGATTTACTTTAATTAGTTTGAACCAATCACCTGATCTAAAGGCAAGAGGTCTTCAACAACATCCCCCATGACTTCCCAAGTCCTGGTTTCTCCTTCTTTAAAACTCCAGACTCACCGGGTGATTGAAGCAAAAACAGAGATCATAGATGAATGGAAATTTGCACTTAGTAAATTTGCAGAGGAGGTTGTAATTATTGTTGCTCAAATATCACAATCAGGACACAGAAGAGGTCTGTTCTGTGACCATTCATGGTCACCTGCAGGCCTGGTACAGTTTTAAACTACATTTGTCTTTCTGAAATATACACAGTAGATGTCAGGGTGTACTGGGATGAGGTCATAAATGTGGATGGAAAAGTTTGGGGTGAAACAGAAACAAAGCAGAAGTTACAAAAAGTAGGGAGCATGAGGGTGGGCTGATGAGAAACAGGGGCGTAACAACTCTCAAGGAATAAGGGAAGGCAAAGGACTCTATGAAAAGATGGTTCCCCCTGCCTCCCTCTTTGCTTCTTAAATATATATTTATGTCAAAAGTTCTATTAACTTGTGCATCAAATTCTTACTAGTGGTGACTCTTGGTATGTGGGATTTGGGGGGATGGAGTTGACATTAAAATTTTACTTTGTATTTATAGACTTCTAGCTTATTTTATAACAAGCATGGATATTACTTTTAACATGAAAGAAAGAGATAAAATTTAAAATTTTTTAATAACCTCACCATGGGTGGCATCTGAGCTCTGGTCCTTCTGGTGGGCTGAGACCTCCAGGACAAGGCTTTTGTTGACCGCCAGCTGTCCATCATGCTTCACCTGGCAGGTGAGGACCACATCATCCCTTTGGTCAGGTGTGTCCACCAGGAGCCAGCTTGTCCAGTTGTAGGTACCATCCTTGTTCTCTGTAAGGGTCGAGGCCGTTTCTGTCCGGCACACGTTTCCATTCTCCAGCCAGGTCAACTGTAGATTCTGGGGGTAGAAATTCCTCACCTGGTAGGTGATGTTTACCTGGTTCCCTGCCCTCATGGGCTGTTGAGTAACCTCCAAGGTGGGTGGAACTGAAACAGCACAGGGCAGAAGCTCTGACCTTGTGGCACAGACAGATCACAGAGAGGGCTCCATAACTTAGCTCCCACCACCACGGTGAGGGCGTCACCAGGACAGTGCTAGGCAGGCAGCACGTGCTCAGACATTGAGGGCACTCTTTGCATATGAGTGAAATTGCAAAGCACAATGCCTGGCACACAGTAGGTGCCATAGGACTGATAGCTCCTACTAGGGTAAGATTGAGTGAAATCTACAAGTACAACCCCTGGCATGCAGTTGGAATGTCATAACTGTAACAAAATCAGTGCAACCACCAAAGACGTAGGGGCTTGGCTCATAGTAGGTGCTCACTAATAGTAGTTGTTCTTGGTGAGAAAAATGAAGCTCTCTAGTGGAGAGCTTGGCACATGACCAAGTGCCAAAGTCACTGGTCCCCTTGGTCCCATGACTGCTGCCAATAAAATGGTAGTAAGTGACCAGCACACCTAGGTGTATGGGAGGTGGGCAGCACAATTAGGGAATAGATTCCAGGCCATTCAAGCTCTGGAGCAATAGCCTGGGGAGAGGGGAGTGGGTATGGCAGCCAGATGTGGGCTTGGGCTGGGTGTGAGGGTCCTCTACCTCGGATGGCCTCAGACAAGTTTGCAGTCCCACGAAGAGGGTCCCCCTGCAAGGTGACGTGGGCCACCTCACACGTGATCTGAGAGCGAACGTCCCAGGGGGCCAGAACCACCCTGGCTGTGCTGCGGATGCTGTAGGACACGCTCTGTCCTGCGGGGTCCACGCTGGTCTGGAAGTCTGAGAGCTCGTTCCCATTTTTGAACCATTTCAGGGTGATGTCTCTGGGGGAGAAGCCGTGGGACTTGCAGGTGAAGCTCACTGTGTGCTCAGGTGTGGCCCTCGCCGCAGGGCCTGATACCACTGGGGCAGAGGGTTTGGCTACAAAAGGAGCATCGATAAGCAAGAGACATGACTGAGACGATGATCACTAATAATGAGTGTGTGACACTGTTAAGAACCTTCAGATACATTAATTTTAATCCTTCTAATAATGTGGAGAGGACGGTGTTCTTATTCTCATTTTACATAGCAGAGTACAAAGGTTGGAAGAGGTGAGGACCAGCCCCAGGTCAGACAGTGTAGGGGAAGGTCCCAGAGGGAGGTCCAGGCCTGAGTTCAAAGTCTTCCTCTCCACACAGGGTGACTTCCACCAACCTGGGCACAGGAACAAAGTTACTGATTGGTCTCCCTTTGTGTATTAACTGGTCCTACCCTGTTTCCCCCGGAGAGCTCACCAACCTCAGAGAGGGTGTTTACAGAAGTCAAAGTAAGGAACAATGGCAAAGTGGCACCACCGTGAGACCTGCAACCAGGCTGTTCAGCCCATGAGAGGGGTGGCCTGGCATACCCAGCTCCCCATCTGCAAAATGGGACAGCAGCATTTTTCCTTCCCAGGGGTGCAACAAGGATTAAATGAAGCAATGGAAGAAGTTTTGCTTTTGATCAGTCAGAAGATGCTTCATAAAAATAAACACAGATCTGTCTTTAACCCAGACTTTATATACACCCAGAGCTGTCTCTTCATGTATTTATGAATTTATTTCATGTTTTTCATTCTTTTCATAATATTCCAGTAGAGTTTTTGAAAGAAAATGAAGTAGTTAAGGCTAAAACTTTAACATGGAGTCAAGCATTTGTAAGAGCACTGCACTCACACCTGCTAAAGGTCAAGCCACAGGATGTTGCTGTAGACCTGGATAACAACGCACTGAAGTCAAGGTACATGGGATTTTGATCACTCTCATCCTGGAGTGTCCTAATTAAGTAACCAAAGAATACGAGTTTGCAGTTTAGCATTTCTGCCAGCCAATGAACTGTTTTCAAAAACAACCTTTTATGAAAGTCCCCTGTAAAAAACCTTTCCTGCATTGCCCTATGGGCCACTATTCAGGGCTGCCATGACTCGGGGTTCCCAAATTGCAACTCTTTAATTCACAAATAAATGCTATTTCCTTTGGCCTTCCTATCAATTATTTTTTTTTTTTAGTTAGCAGGTCTAATCTGTGACAAGTCCCAAATTTGAAAAGAGGGAAGGTTTCTTGGAATCTAGGTCTTCAGTTGGGCCAGTTTGGGGTCAAAAACAACGATCACTGAGTACTAAGAAAGCCAAAGGTGGGTAATTTCTTCATCGTTAATCCATTACAAGAGACAAAGACCCAGGCCACCCCAACAGGCAGAAATCTATCCTGGGTCCTGAAAGCACACAAACTGGAGAATCAGAAAAATGAGGGTAGTTTCTCCCCGTAGATGAGTCCTAAATGTGTCTCCAGATTGCTAATTATTACCCTGCACCTCCTATAGCAGTCACCAGGAAACACGTGTTAGGCATACTTGCATTTGTAAATATTAACTTGCTCCCAACCACATGCAAACAGTTTATGGGCACAGTAAGAAGGGTGTCACTTGAAGAAGTCAAGTCATCAAGACACCAGCAGCATTGGGCATCCCTAGAGGGCTGAGAGTCTGCAATCATTTCCCATTTGTTGAGGGCGTCTCAGGAGCTGGCTGCTCCCTCTGTACCTCTCAGCTCTTTAATCCTCCCTTCATTGCCTTGAGGGGGTCCTCGTGTGAGTCCCTTATAGGACCAGGGTCTGAGGGGACCCCAGCTGGCAAAGGGCCAAAAGTGGATAAAAATCCCACACTGGTAAGATGAGGGAGGATGAATGCAAGCCCAGAGCCTGGTATGTAGCAGGTGCTTAATAAATGAGCCCTGTGGCTGTTATCAAGAGGTTTGGTCATTACTGCTTCTGAATCTACACATTTATTCTTTAGGCAGCAGAACATAAAGGAGTAGAAACACCAAGAAAAGGCTCAAATCCTGCTCCCTGTAGCTCATAAAAAACTCAAATGATAATAGAAACAAAACCACCAAGTCTGGACAATTGGCTTTCAGAAAACAAGTAAGATCATAGGTAAAGCTAGAAGCATTTTGGAAGGAGGAGGGAACAGAGTCCTCTGTGACATCTTTTTATTATTATTATTTTACTTTAAGTTCTGGGATACAAGTGCAGAATGTGTAGGTTTGTTACGTAGGTGTATGTGTTTCATGGGGGTTTGCTGCACCTATCAACCCGACATCTAGATTTTAAGCCCTGCATGCATTAGCTATTTGTCTTAAGGCTCTCCCTCCCCTCATCCCCCACCCCCTGATTGGCCCCAGTGTGTGTTGTTCCCCTCCCTGTGTCCATGTGTTCGCATTGTTCAACTCCCACTTATGAGTGAGAACATGAGGTGTTTGGTTTTCTGTCCCTGTGTTAGTTTGCTGAGGAAGATGGCTTCCAGCTTCACCCATGACCCTGCAAAGGACATGAACTCATTATTTTTTATGGCTGCATAGTATTCCATGGTGTATATGTACCACATTTTCTTTGTCCAGTCTATCACTGATGGGCATTCAGGTTGGTTTCATGTCTTTGCTATTGTAAATAGTGTTGCAATAAACATACATGTGCATGTGTCTTTATAGTAGAATGAGTAATATTCCTTTGGGTACATACCCAGTAATGATGGTATCTCTGGTTCTAGATCCTTGAGGAATCACCACATTGTCTTCCACAATCGTTGAACTAGTTTACATTCCCACCAAGAACGTAAAAGCATTCCTATTTCTCCACAGCCTCACCAGCATCTATTGTTTCATAACTTTTTAATAATCGCCATTCTGACTGGCATGAGGTGGTATCTCATTGTGGGTTTGATTTTCATTTCTCTAATGATTGGTGATGTTGAGTTTTTTTTTCATATGTTTGTTGGCCACATAAATGTCTTCTTTTGAGAAGTGTCTGTTCAAATCCTTTGCATACTTTTTGATGGGGTTGTTTGTTTTTTTCTTGTGAATTTGTTTACATTCCTTGTAGATTCTGGATACTAGATCTTTGTCAGATGGGTAGATTGCAAAAATTTTCTCCCATTCTGTAGGTTGCTTGTTCACTCTGATGATAGTTTCTATTCCTGTGCAGAATCTCTTTAGTTTGATTAGATCCCATTTGTCAACTTTCGCTTTTGTTGCAATTGCTTTTGGCATTTTCGTCATGAAGTCTTTGCCCATGCCTATGCCTGAATGGTATTGCCTAGGTTTTCTTCTAGGGTTTTTATGATTTTGGGTTTTACATTTAAGTCTTTAATCCACCTTGAGTTAATTTTTGTATAAGGTGTAAGGAAGGAGTCCAGTTTCAGTTTTCTGTATATGGCTAGCCAGTTTTCCCAGCCCCATTTATTAAATAGGGAATCCTTTCCCCATTGCTTGTTTTTCTCAGGTTTGTTGAAGATCAGATGGTTGTAAATGTACAGTGTTATTTCCAAGGTCTCTGCTCTATTCCATTGATCTATATGTCTGTTTTGGTACCAGTACCATGCTGTTTTGGTTACTGTAGCCTTGTAATATAGTTTGAAGTCAGGTAACATGATGCCTTCAATTTTGTTCTTTTTGCTTAGGATTGTCTTGGCTATACTGGCTTCTTTTTTTGGTACAATATACAATTTAATGTAGTTTTTTCTAATTCTGTGAAGAATGTCAGTGGTAATTTGATGGGAATAGCATTTAATCTATAAATTACTTTGGGCAGTACGGCCATTTTTATGATATTCATCCTTCCTATCCATGAGCATGGAATGCTTTTCCATTTGTTTATGTCCTCTCTTATTTCCTTGAAGCAGTTGTTTATAGTTCTCCTTGAAGAGGTCCTTCAAATCCCTTGTAAGTTGTATTCCTAGGTATTTTATTATCTTTGTACCAATTGTGAATGGGAGTTCATTCATGATTTGGCTCTCTGCTTGTCTGTTGTTGGTGTATAGGAATGCTCGTGATTTTTGCACATTGATTTTGTATCCTGAGACTTTGCCGAAGTTGCTTATCAGCTTAAGGAGTTTTGGGCTGAAATGATGGGGCATTCTAAATATAGGATCATGTCATCTGCAAACAAAGACAATTTGACTTCCTCTCTTCCTATTTGAATACTCCTTATTTCCTTCTCTTGCTTGATTGCTCTGGCCAGCACTTCCAATACTATGTTGAATAGAAATGGTGAGAGAGGGCATCCTTGTCTTGTGCTGGTTTTCAAGGGGAATGTTTCCAGCTCTTGCACATTCATTATGATATTGGTTGTGGGTTTGTCATAAGTAGTTCTTTTTATTTTGAGATATGTTCCATCAATACCTAGTTTATTGAGAGTTTTTAGCATGAAGCAATGTTGAATTGTATTGAAGGCCTTTTCTGCATCTATTAAGATAATCATGTGGTTTTTGTCATTGGTTCTGTTTATGTAATGCATTATGTTTACTGATTTGCATATGTTGAACCAGCCTTGCATCCCAGGGATGAAGCCAATTTGATTGTGGTGGATAAACTTTTTGATGTGCTGTGGGATTCAGTTTGCCGGTATTTTATTGAGGATTTTCACATTGATGCTTATCAGGGATACTGGCCTGATGTTTTATTTTTTTGTTGTGTCTCTGCCAGGGTTTGGTATTAGGATGATGCTGGCCTCATAAAATGAGTCATGGAGGTGTCCCTCTTTTTCTAGTATTTGGAATAGTTTCAAAAGGAATGGTTCCATCTCCTCTTTGTACCTCTGGTAGAATTCGGCTGTGAATCCATCTGGTCCTGGGCTTTTTTTGGTTGGTAGGCTTTTAATTACTGCCTCAATTTCAAAACTTGTTATTGGTCTATTCAGGGACTCAACTTCTTGATTTAGTCTTGGGAGGGTGTAGGTGTCCAGGAATTTATCCATTTCTTCTAGATTTTCTAGTTTATTTGCATAGAGGTGTTCATGGTATTTTCTGATGGTAGTTTGTGTTTCCATGGAGTCAGCGGTGATATCCCCTTTATCTTTTTTTAATGTGTCTATTTGATTCTTCTCTCTTTTCTTCTTTATTAGTCT